CAATTTATGTTGCTCCAGGTTGACCCCTACCCTTAAATATTGCTAGGCATTTCATACTAAATATATGCAAAAGAGTTACAGCAAAATAAAGCTCTATAGGTTGAGTGTGCAATCTTCATTTTCTTTTTCTAATCAGCCAGAATTGGTTAGATACTGTAATATCACCATCATCATCACCATCATCAACAACAACAGCAATAATAACAAAAACAGGCTAATTTCTCACTCTACAGGTAATCTGTGGGATGCTGGGGGAGTGTATACTATTCAGGTCTTCCAGGGTTTGCACTGATGGATCAGCTGCCATTCTGAACTTTGTGGCTGTTGCATAAAAGATCTGGAGGTTGTTGTTGTGGCAATTAACTGCCTCTGCCTAGAAGCAACACTTGTTAGTTTTGCTTGTGGCTTTTAACTTGTTGGAAGGCTGTACCCAAAAGGCCAGAGACTGCAGTAGTTCCATGTTTCTGACTAGCATGGAACAGAATGAAGTATCTGGTGAACTACACTGAGGTACAAGCACACTCACCATATACTGATGAGTTTTCTGAGTCCCACATATGCAAACCTTCCCCTCCTGTTCTTATAGGTTTTGCTTCTGGAGGTTCTGGTTGTCTTTACTGCTTTTGCCTTGAGAAAGCCTAGCTTTCCCACTTAGATTGTAGCAATGGCTTCTTTGATCCATTTAAACAGCTCACAGATACAGTGATGGTTCCCATACGATCCATTAAAGCTTCATCATCACAACATGGTATGTTTCAAACCTTTGGCATGAATTGGCCTTCATGTCTGACACCTGCTGCCTGTCAGCCTCTCTTCTGGCTCCTGTGTGCTAGCCATGTTCCAGGACTCTCTGAGGGCTTTTCTTGACTTCTGTTCTGTTTAGAACATGTCTTGTTCCCTATCACTACCCTTTTTCTTCCCTACAAGTACTTTGCTCCAGCTTAGAGAATCTGTAATCTTCCCTGAAGATTCCAAGCCTGTTTTCCCCTAAGAAATGCTTTCTGACTTTCTCCAAGGGAATGATGACTGTTTCCTTGGTTTTAGCCAGAAGACCATTCTATGTATATTGTTCTCAAAGCACACGGTTTGTATTTTTTAGATTTCATGCTTGATTCACTTAAGTAATCTGTGCACATCTTGATGGTAGAAACGTGTTACTAAGTCATATGTTCTCATAGGGAATAACTATGCCGTTCCTGGCATGTGGAGAATGTGAAGTAAATGTGTTATGCAGAGCCCAAACCACAAAGATAAAATTATACCATCAGAGACAGATTCTGCATGATATAATGATTCTGTCTGTCTGTCTGTCTGTCTGTCTTTATCTATCATCTATCACCTGTCTATCATCTACTATCTGTCTATCATCTATCTATCTATCTATCTATCTATCTATCTATCTATCTATCTATCTATCTATCTGTCTAATCTATTTCAGAGTAAGGTATGTGCATTATGTCTATGCCTGTTCTTGGGCAAGTTAGCTGTCATACACTTGCGTTGGTTTCTAATACTCTGTGCGGAGTGTATGAAAGCTTTGCTTACTTCATAGGCTTATTGGAAGGTTAACTCACTGTTTATAGTGAAGGCACTCAGCAGCCTGTAGTAGTTCCTTACTACTGCTGTGACACATGATCACATCCTTGGTAGCTTTCAGCATACCTCTGTTATCTTAAAGTTATGAAGGTCAGAAATCTAAAATGAGTTTCACTGGGCAAAATTCTTTCTGGAAATTCTAGAGGAGTAATCTACTTCATTACCTTTTCTAATTTCAAGAAACATTGTCTCATTGAGTCTCTTATGACTGTCATACACTCCTTTCTTAGAAGGACCCTTATGTGTCTATTAGAGTCTGTGGAATAAACCAGGATAATGCTCCAACTTAAGATCCTAAGTTTAACAACTGGAGCACTCCTCTGTCATGCTGGGTATACAGAGCCACACAGGCCTAGGCTCAGAGAACTGGATGTACACATTTTAAAGGAAGCGTTATCCTGCTGACTTCTGAGCATTTTCTCGTTATAAAGGGTTGTTATGATTTGGCAGTTAGCATTTGAGCTGCAGGTTGCTTCTTAGACAATGTCACACTGTTTGTATTTTAGAGCCCGGTCACTCATGGGCCATGCATCCTTTGATAATCCTTTGATGCATCCTTTGATGCATCTATTGATAATTTAGCTTGAAAAAGTAATACTTTTCTCATTCCGAAAGCATATTAAGTGCTTAACCTTTGAAATATAGCCATTTTGTGATGTCAAGATACACACACTAGTAAAAGAAAATTGAATTTTAAAAAGTACCTTAGGAGTACTAAGAAAGAAAAAAATTTCCATTTGCTATTATTATGCAGAAATGGCTAACAGATTTTGAGAAATTACTGTGAGCTGAGAGCTGTCCTAAGTGTTCACACAACAAGCACTGACTAGTGAGGTCTCCACAGTGAGTTTATAAACTGTAAAGTGCTTCCATGTTCCTTATTTCATGACACTTGAAAGAGTTTGCCTAACTAAGGGTAGAAAGCTGCAGAGATGAGATTTTAAAAATAAAGTGACCAGGCTGTGGACATTAAACTGTCAACTGTAGCACCACAAAGGTTAAATGGAGACAAGGATGGGTGGCTTTAAGAGAGTGAGCTCTGGGCCCCGGGCCCCTGGCACTCAGCATCTCTGTACACCTTATATCTGTGGTACTGACTGGAATCATTTAGTGTTGTTGACTTCTCATTTTTACATTTAAAAGAAATGCTTAATAGGAGGTGACCAGCTATGTTAGGAGTTGGTCAGTTACCAGAGATGCTTGAAAACAAACTTTTGAGAAAGTTCCAAGCTTTTAAAAGCGCATCCTTCAAGTCTCGCTCCCAGCATCTGCTCTGTCTCTCTTCTTCTTTCCTCTCCTCACCTTTCTCATCTCTCTCCCCTCCCTTTCCCTCTCTCTGAAATATCCTTTAGGAAGATCGACTTCAGCAATTGTCAAACATTGTCTTTCTCTGCATTCTGGCAAATTACTTTGCCACACAGAGCTAAGGGGTAGGAGGCTGCCTGTTATTTGAAAGAAATGTGTTTTCGAAGTTAGCGTTTCTATACAAATACATTGTTCTCTGCTTCTTAGGCCAGGCAGATGCTAGCAGTGTGTTCTCCACCTTGGGGAGGTTAAAAATACAAGCAAGGTTATTAAGGAAAGCAACGGTTACAAGGATATTAAGAACAACTGCTGAAGCATTCTGTATGGCAAGAAACTGATTGTGCTAGGATTCGTTCTGGAAGGAAGTACTTTGATGGACTGGCTGCCTACTCAGCCACATTAACAGAAATATGCTCTCTGAAAAAAGAAACCAACTCAGAAATAACCAAGGAAGGGGGTTCTGTAATCAACACAGACAAGATACCGCAAGCAATATCAAAACGTATAAGAAAGTGTCAAATAAGCTCGGATTACTAAACGGTCACATTCACAGGGAGCTGACCGTGAGCTTACTGGGCTTTTGCAGTGCAGCGTATGCAACAATGAGGGCTACAGACGCATGCCCTGGGATCTGTGGTAGAGTCTGAATCATTCAAAGGTTGAAAACCGTGGAATGGTTTCCTTGCTTTCCACATGTGCCTGACATTTCCTCACAGTCACACGCGGTTAAAGAGTGTGTCACCTGCATTCCGAGGCTTGCTTTTGCGTCCAGTGTTTTATTTAGAATCCTGCGCCAGATGAAACTGTTGACCTCAGTTAGCCAGAGACGGCTGCTTTGCTATTTTGATTTGGAGTTAATGTTTTCCTCATGCAGAGAAAATGTATTTTCGTAGACTGATAGTAAACACTGCATATGTATTTCTTTTGTGCTTAATGATCCATGGGAATATCTAGAAAAGTGAGAACCAATTAGATAATTCACTGTAAATGGTTTTTAAGAAAAGACATCTCTCTTCCCTTGGTATTTCTAAGGATAGGTCTATATCACATTTGTTTGTTTCCATTGTTGGGCTTGACGATAGTGCTATGCTCACAAAATACAGTCTTCTATTTTGTTTGAGTTAAAAGTACATGATCTCTTTCAAGGTCTGAAAAACTCTGCTGGAAAACAAACAAGCACATTTTTAATAATCCTACATTTGACTCTCTGTTCTGTGACTGTGAACAGTCAATAATCTGAGTTTATTGGCCCTTTCTTATGTCATCCTTTTATGTTGTTCTGATTAAAGAGGAAAGTAATTTATCTTCATTTCTTTTGTGCTATAATTGGGGTTTAATCCGGCTTTTTGGTTTTGTTTTGCTTCTGTGATATTTTGCAGTAAGTATTTGAGTCTGGCTATTTTTATTTATCCCCAAATTTAATCAAACTTGGGAGAAATGTAAGGCAGAAAGCAAGCATGTCTCCCTGTCTCTGGGTGGTAGGGATAGGACAGAGTCATGTAGAGCATGGGTCCGGGGCATGCAATAGGAAGTGACATAGGGAAACAGAGAATGGGACCAGAACACCAGTGGGCTCACCATCTTTCATTCCTAGTGAGTCTCCGCTGTGGTAGACATGCCCCAGCATCTTTGTGTTCCAGACACAGCTGTAAATCAGAAGTGCTAGAGAAAGGAATGTTTTCTTTGAAGGCTGTCTGACAACGGAACTCAACCTGTGACTTGCAACCCCTTTGCCAAACCTCTATCTCCAAAAATATTTACATGACCATCATAGCAGTAGCAAAATTACAGCTATGAGGTAGCAATTAAAAGAATGCCTGGAGGTCACCACAACACGAGGAACTTTATTAAAGGGTCACGGTGTTAGGAAAGTCAAGAACCATTGTGAGAGAAGAAACTATCACTCACCACTGTCCCCGTGAAGATGGTGCTTCTAGAAGTAGCTTGTGTCTTGTTTTTTTTTTTGTGTGTGTGTGTTTGCCTACATAGGAAGACAGATGGGCAAACACTAACGTTTCCTTGATGCTTACTTTTTTCAAAAACCAATAATACATTGAGAAATGTTTCAAATGTACATTTATATGCATTTTGTCTTTCAGGAACACTAAAAAGGGTTTATTTCAAATCAAATGACAGTGAACCTTTGGTCACTGATGGCGAAGCTCGAGTGCCTGGCGTTATCCTTGTAAATACAGTTTATTATGAGGACACAGGGGTGCCCCCTGTGCCCCCCAGCCAATCCACTCCAGCCTGGACACCTAGAGCCCCTTCTCCAGAGGACCAGAGTCACAGGAATACAAGTAAGTCTGAAGTTGCTGAACAAGAATGCTTTTGTCTGTGACATCTGATGGTCACAGGTCACGTGATGAGACCCATTCATCCAGAAAGCCTAATGGCGTGCCCACCCTTTAAGTCTAAAATGTGAGCAGCTCCACAGGCAAGACAGAGATGGACTAGGGAACATAATAAGTCAACATTTCTGAGCTAGAACCCTTTGCACAAGTTGCTTGCTCCACTGTGAGCCTTGTGTTAAAAGTTACTTATTATGTAAGGGAAGTCACTTTTGCCTTGCTAGAGGGATTCCCCATTTATACAGTTAAAGGGGAGCATGACTAAAAACTCAGCCCTATTTGCTTTAGAGGTATGCTTGTGTTGTCTGTCTCTTGCTTTCTTCTTTTATTAGCAGTGACAGTTACTTGACATCTTGGCGACTGCAAACAATCACACCTTCAGGAAAGTGGCACTTGCCAAGAATTCCTGCTGGGTGAACTCCAAGGGAGTGTTAGTATTTCCAGAAAAAGATTTGGGCCAGAGAGAAAAGACAGAATAGGGAGATATCATATATGGAATGTAACTCAATCCCTAGACGGCCCCAGACCGTCAATAAAGTTACCCCACTTCCAGAAAACCTGGTGCAATGGGTTTGTGTGTAAAGGCATTCTGTTCCAAAAATACAAAAAATATGAAGGCCTTCTATGTCCTGGTGCCTCTTTTTTTTTTTTTTTAAATTCCCTCCAGCAAGGTGATGTCATCAGAAATGACATTAAACTCATCTATCCATGGTCACATTGTTTCCTCTCTCATTCATGACACCCACGAAAGGAATTGCATCTTAGTCGCAGCTAGAGTATTTTCATAGGAAGGGAAAACTGTAAGTTAACTTGGAACTCCCATGATGTGGATTTGCCAGTGCTTGAGAGAAAGTGGAGTTGTTTTGTTTCTCCAGTTCAAGAAGGCCAGTCTCCTCCAATTTCACAGTTTCACAGTGTACCTATGCTATTCGTCTTAGTCATCCCTATACAGTGTTCACCAGGGATCCAGGCAGGCAGGCTTATGACCTGGACAGCAATATTGCAAAGCAGAATTATGTCACTTTGAAATTATTTTCAATGTGAGTTTAAGTCCGAGGTTTCATATTTTGCTCAAGGACGGTGTTTTCCATCAGAAGTGAAGAAGTCATTTACCTAAAACCAGCCTGGCTAACGCGGTTGCAATGACAGCAACTGTCATTTTCTTCCTCTAAGTGGATTTGTCTGTAGTTTCAAAGTTCTGTCATTTGTTAAGATTCAAATCAGTTTGACAAGCATATACCCTGGAGAATAAAAGAAACACAGGGGGCTTGCTGTTTAGCTTGGGATTTTGATAGAACCCTGACATGAGTATTCTCTTCCTCTAGCTAGATATGAATTTATTTTGACACATAGATGAAATCCAGGTGAAATCAGTGACTGTGTCAGGAGAGGCTGACACCTTTGATGGTTTGCCCATCTGTGTTGCTCGTATGCTTGACTGACCACTGCTTGCCAGGGAGACTCCCCATCTACTGTCGACGTTAACTCGAACTGCTGGCTACAGGGAGCTTCTATTTTAAAATACTCTAGTGAGAATATCAGTCTGAGCTTACTGAGGATTTGATGGTTTAGGGGGCATGTTTGAGTGTGAGCCCCATAATCAGCTGGTGAGCACCACAGGATAGGTAAGCACATTCTTCAATGTTTAAGGCACAAAATCAAGTTGGTATGTCCGGTACCATTTAGTTGTTAGCTGGCAGATATGAAGCTAGGTTTTAGGTATTGGGATTCTTGTGCCAGTGCTCTCTCAGTGACTCTTGTTCCTGATAGGATTTATTGCTTCTTTTATAGTGTGGAGAGTACTAGTACACACACCTTAGGCTCTGGGAGAATAGAAAGAATCATCGGCTCTTTGCTTTTCTGTTTTCCGTTGGCTTTCGTGATGGCTGGCCATGCTGTTCTTGATACAACAGTGACCAAGTGAAGTGTATTCACTGAAAATATCTAATATATGTTAATGGAATCTGATCACACTTCTGCTGCTTGGTTTTATTTAACCAACCTTAAAATATCATTTAATGTCTTTTTTTCATATTAGCACCTTGCAGAAGAACTGTTTTCCCTTCCCGTGTTATTACTGTCCTCCAACTAAGAGTTTTTAAATTTCCTGGTATATGTAAAAGCTATTTAAGTGTACTTTGGTCCCCAAATACCATTGCCAGACATTCTACTTGGATTTCCTGGCCAACTCTTAACTCCAAAAGTAATTAGAAATGGTCTTGCTCCAAGACGCTTCTTCCTGAGGGACCCTCCTATCACTGTCAAGGCTAATTCTGCACTTACAAAGTGTTGACTAGAATATATCACAAGACTGCTATGCTGTGGCCACTAGCCTTTCTGCATGGGAGTGAGGGGGTATCCTCATGTGACAGGCTGTACTTCTGGGTTTTTCTGACCCTCACTGAGCTCCAAGGGCGATTGAGAAAAGGAGGTGACCCACTGTAAACTTTAATGCTGTGTTTCAGCAAGAAATGCATTTCTAGGTTGCATGCTATGTCTGGGTTTCATTTTCTAATGTTTTTGTCTTTATGTATATTGTAAGTATTTAAACACATGCTGAAGGAAAGGGGACAACTGGCTAACAAGAGGTCGGTAGGGGATCACATAGAGGGTAGTTCACACTGTAGACTGTGTTCTAATGAAGTGTCAGAAAATGGATTAGTGTCCCGAGAGAACTTCCCATGTTCTGTTCTCTTCTCAGATCTCTGGTAGGCAACTCCTAGGGGGGAAAAATAAGTGTTTTTTTTATTGGATATTTTCTTTATTTACATTTCAAATGTTATCCCATTTCTCAATTCCTCCCACCTCTGGAAATAAGTGCTTTTAAAAAGCAAAACCAAACCAAAAGAATCTGTAATCAGAATGGGAGTTTGATGGGAGGAAGTGTAGGAGTGGAAGGTGGGTAAGAGACAGAGGAGAGAGCTCTGTAGTCAGAATGCACTCTATACAAGGGTCGAATTGTCAAAGAACAAATTAATAAAGAAAGTAACTGCTTCCTAAGACATCAGCAACATATTAAGTCCACCTTCCTGATATGTATAATTCAGCAATTTTTAATGTATTTATAAAGTTGTGCAATTATTTCTACTACCTAATTTTATTTTATTTATTTATTGGCTATAAAAATGCTGACTCTATTGCTTCACATTCCTTCTTTGTGCAATCCCTAGCCTAAACTAATCTAATGATGCCTCCATGGGCTTGCTCATTTTGAAACTTAAGAGTGTGTTAAGCCTGAGGCCCACGGCCTGCATCTGGCCAAGAATAGCTAGAAATGTGCCTCAAAATTCAGAGCTGTCTTAGCCCATTATGGAAACTCAGCTGTGTGGTCCTCTGTGTGTCAGTGACAACACGGTGTCTCAATATTCAAAAGTCAGACACGTGTGGAAATGTATCAGACAACACAGGTTTCTTCCTTTTAGCATGCTCTCTGGATGCATCCATGTCAGCTATGATGCCTTCATCCTCTTTTTAGAGCTAAGAAATATTCCTTCGAATGAATATGTAACATTTTATCTGTTCATCCTTCCAAGGATAGGTATCTGAGTTGCTCCTGCTTTTTTTAGCACCTGTGAACTATACTGCTGGGATTTTTGTACAAGCTGTGGTACGGACACGTGCTTCCAATTTTCTTTGGGTTATAAGGGAAGTAGAAATGTGTTATTTCTATAGTTTCCTAATAGTTTTCTGCCTAGTTGTTTAATTCACTATGGATATTGCGTATTGAAGCCTCCAACTGTTCTCAGAATCATCATCATCACCATCATCATCATCATCACCATCATCCTCTCTTCATCATCATTGTACCAAGTTGCCTTGCTCATTTTCTTGAGCCTGGGCCCTGGGGTATATCTGATTGACCTAAGAATTCCATGTAAAAGTTTCTGAATTATATATTTTCCTTTAAAGAGTTATTAAATAATTTAAGCACCTTCTACATCACGTGGCAAAGTAACATATAACAAGCACCACTATGGAGTTTTGGTACTTATTTGAGTTTCTATACATGATCATATCGCTGCTTACATAGCTATTTTGCTATATAATTTGATAGCTATAAGGAAGGAATGACATATGCTTGGATTTTTTTCTCTATTGAAGACCAAACATTTTTCTGAAGGTTGCCTTTGTAATGGCCCAAACACAGAAAAATAACCACACACTCATTTGGCCAAGACCAGCATGGTAGCTGCTCCCTGAATATGTGTCTTAGGTTACAGCACCCAACACTGTACTCAGGCTATTTTAGCAGACAGTAGGCATATTAATTAATAGCTTAGTAATTTCAATTTTATTAATTTTGATTATATTTTCTTTATAATATCCAGGGGTTTATATCTAATTATATGCATGCTCATAAAACTTTCTTCATGTGAAAAATGTTGTATATTAAATGACAATTTTTCAGCATGAGGAAAGGTGCACTAAGCCCCAGATCCAGTGATCTGTGTCACATTTCCTGAAACGCTGAGGCTCTATGGCAGAATTCTTAATGTATTTTTGCCAAAGACTCCTTTGACAATCTAGAGAAAGCAAACGTCTTTCCAGAATGATAGTTTGGCCCTAAAGTAAATCACACAGAGTTAAAATAATTAGAACAATATTTAAATGTAATCCCTAACTCGTTAGAAATGTAAAACATCCATGAAATAGTCAAATGCCTGCTTATTTATTCACACATTAAATAGTGATTACTAGCAAGTGATCAAAAGCAAAGTTTTTTTAACAGAGACGAAACATAAATAACATTTTGGAGTGTCTGCAGTATCTCTGTGTTGATTCATTAATGTCTGTGGTTTTTGTACTGTTTTCTATATCTGCTGCCCATGTTGATAAGTGAATTACCCCAAATTTCAATCAGACTGTAGGACAGAGATGCTACTTTGCTCTTAGAAAGTTCATTGAGAGCCCAAATTCTTTGTCCGACTGCTGAGGTCTGCGTTCTAATG